GACTGGGTCCTCTTCCTACACGTAGGCCTTATTTTTCTAGTGTCAGTTTCTCCACACAATGTGTTTCCAAATTTATTAACACAGTTCCCTTTTTCATACTAGGTGATCTCTATGCTAATCTGACTATTGATATCCAGGACCTTAGCAATGATATCAAAATTCTGTCATTGACTAAGACATTCAAAGTGTCTTCGGAAGAATATTAGAGTTTCTCAAAGATACTTTCTTTTCTCTTCCAAGGCACACAGCTCACCCCTATCTGTGTCAGTGTTTCTGTGTAACTCTTCTGACAATATCCATACTCAGCCTCACACACAATCAGCCACCCTTTCCTGTGTCCCCTCTTTTATCACAATGTACCCAGAACCTTCTGATGCATTCTATTGTTTCTTCATTTGTTATCCTTAACTCTGCAGATTAAGCAACTGCATATGCCAGAGGAGACTATCTGGGGCTTTTCAGTGAAAGAGTCCAGGAAAATAGTAATATTTGTTGAACATGAATTCAAGAGATTTTCCAATTTATAGGACCAGCAATATTGAATAAGCCTAGATTCTGTGTAATGCGTTTCCTGTTAGCACTTTTAACCAATTTTTTATTTATCATTTAAAAAAATAATATGAAAAATAATTGTTTGATTAAAACAAAGCTTTATAAATATTCAAATGTATGATTTACTGTGTGGATGTAAATAGAAATAACTGCATTGAATGCATATTAACAAATGGAGCATTTGAAGACAGACCTTATGTTGTTTTTTTTTTGGTAAGTTTCAGGACATATGAGTACACCATCAGATGTTCTGAATATGAACAATGAAGGCAGCAATGTAGTCTAAACAGGAAGAGTTAATACAATATGGGTTGTTAGGAACCAATGAGAAGGCTGAATTGACAGCTACTCAACAGAGATAATTTGTCAGCTTGGTAAAAAAAATAACCTCCCTACTTTAAAATATGGCTGATCAACAACTGTAGTAAAAACCAAGCCTCCATAGCACTGTCCCAAATGAGGCAGGAGAAACTCTTGCAATATACTTAAGGGATATTTATACGCTAACTTCTAGTAGAAGCTCTAAAATGAAATTTAATAAAACCAATAAAAGTTTTAAACTACACAGAAAAACCGAACTGAGAAATACTCTCAGTGTCTTCATGTATAATGTAAATTTTCCTATTATTTTTCTAGAGTGTAAGTCTGGATTGGATAAAAAATATGAGTGATTCCACAATATGTCCATTTTTAAATAGTCAAATCAAAACCATTAGTAATACATAAACTGATCAGAACAACTTAATATTTGATGAATTATCTAGTAATTACATATTTTAAAAGTGATCAAATGTTAAGAATTCAATTGTACTTAACATCTTCTATAGTTTAAAACACATATAAATGAAAGTAGTAAATCTTTTTTTTTTGCATTTTTTATTGGACATTTTATTTACATTTCAGATGTTATCCCCTTATCCCATCCCCACCCCACCCCATCCCCTCCCAGGAACCCCCTATTCCATCGCCCCTTCCTCCTGCTTCTCTGTGGATGTGCCCCTACCTACCCCCCCACTCCCACCTCCCCACCTTCGAATTCCCCCATGCACGGAGTCCAGGCTTCATGGGACCAAGGATCTCCTCTCCCACCTATGCCTGACAGGGCCATCCTCCCTTACATATACAGCTGGAGCCATTGGTCCCTCCCTAAGTGCTCCCAGGCTGGTGGTTTAGACCCTGGGAGCTCTGGTTGGTTGGTATTGTTGCTCTCCTCATGGGGCCACAAACCCTTTTAGCTCCTATAGTCTTCACTCTAACTCCTCTCTTCTAATACTAAAAAGACAAATTTTGTGAATTATTCTGAATAAAATTAATGTACTAATTGAAATGAAAATTTAAACTTAAAAGCAGTCATATTTATTAAAAAGCAACTTCTTAAAAAACATAGTAAGGAAGTAAAATGTTTCTCTAAGATACTAAATTAATGAAGCCTTGAATTTTCTCTGATATTTAAGGGCTTCCCTGCTGAATTTACATTATCACTCTCAAATATTTTAATCAAAATATTATTTGCTGTAGCTCTCAAGCTTTAAAATATTTACAGGAAGTCTATGTTCTTTGGGGAAGACCTTTGTTTACATGGTTTATATTATAAGGAGGTCAACCTGTTGATGTGTTCTTTTAGTAAACCCTGTCGTATCCCAACTCTACATATCCATCTCCCACGGGGTATCAATAGCCCAGGTGACACCTAAGAAATTATTGCTTTTTGAGAGTCCTGGTAAAAATTCTTCATGTAAAAGTTTTTTTTAAAAAAAATATTAGACTGGTCTATGGTAATCTTTTATTCACATATTTTATTCTGCGTTCAAATAGATTTTTTTTCTTATACAGCAGGTGCAGCAAACATAATGTCCTGAATGTCATGGGTAACTTGTCCTTTTGTAGTCTGACATGGACCACCTGATACATGATAAAGAACAACCAGTGATTGATACTGACAGCTTCAAAAACCAGGAAAGGAAACATAAGAACCAAGAATGATAGACAAGTTTTCTACAAAATGCTTCTTTTTTTTTTTCCTGGAAAACTCTAGCAAAATTATGAATAGATGTAACAAGCATGTGTGCGTTTATAAAATTCTAACATAAAACTGTTTTTAGAAAGATTATGAAGAAAATATAAAGCTAGTAATTCAAATGAAAATGTGAATTTCACATGAACAGTAATTCATGTGAAAATATTAAATTATTTACATTTACAAATCACAGTTGATAGATGACACTTCCTGTTCCTCAAAAAGTATGGGTGAGTCACATAGGTTCTAGTTGTCAGGTGATTCATGGTTGTAAACTATTTCACAGTATGTCTTTTCCCAGGTTTCATTATAGAAAGTACTCTATAGCATATGCATGTAGCTAAGGACAGTTATTTTCTTCAGGCTCCAGACCTTTATTTGCTGATTCTGCAGATTCTATTATCTAACAACTGACTAGGAGACTCAGAGTACATCAACATAAACAGAGTACTGTCAGGTGTTATCAGCTCCCCAAACTGTCACAAGCACTTGAAGTGGGATTCTCTGAGAATTGTTGCTAGTAAAGTATTCTGTCTTAGCCTCAGGTGAAGGGCTGATCAACCTTCATCATATGATGACAAGATAAGAACAATGAGGACACTAAGAGAAATACCATGTATGTAACTGACTCCTTTTTAAAATGTATAAGTATCATGATGAATTGTTCAAAAAATAAATAAAAAGAAATGTGATTTTTGTCACAGAAAAACAAGTTTAAAGAAGGCAGTATATAGCTAGGTTCTCACCAGCATTCACAATGGAATTTAAAAACCTTACAGTATTGTGCAAATGTCCTGGTGGCTATGTTTGCTTGTTTGTTTGTTTATGTTGAGTCACTAATCCCGTTAGAATGCAGGTTCCCAAAGTACTTTTTCCCATATCAAGTTAAAATGCACAAGTGTTTTCCTTGTCTTGTATTAAAAATGCATTACATTTCCTAGCATTCTAGGTACCTCAAAGATTACACAACACCAAAAAGTTTCACCTTCCTGGAGGTAATTCATTTACGCATTGAGTGCTTTGAAGTAGCTGGATTCAAGGCTAACCGGCAGTGCACATGTGCTATGATGCATATTGCAATACAGTTAGATCCAGTTCAAGCTTTTATAATTCTCTTTGAAATATATCTGACTGCTAAACTTAAAATACACAGATTATTATCTAAAATACATGTTGAGGACACCCTAAAAAACTGATACATACATATACATTTGAAATGGTTATATTGGTGTGGGCAGGAGTCTCTTGAAAGAGATAAATAGTGGATAACTTGTGGTAAACTATCTTAATATAGTAAAACTATTTTTCTCTCAAAAGTAAAATTAACATCATGCACATAACATATAAAACTGTGCTAGAAATATTGCTGTAATAACGTTAGCATCTGTAGAATATTTAAACATGTAGAAGGAAAACATTAAAGTAAATATTGTATTAGAAAATGAGAAATATAGAAAACTCTCAGGAAAAGTATAGCCTTTAGTACTTTTAAACTAAAATTACATTTTGACAATAATTTGTGCTAGACTTCAACCTGGTTTATTTGGGTAGGTAGGCATGTATATGGTACATTTCACAAAATGCTGTGTTGGTTTACATGGCAACACAAGAGTGACATATACTTTTATGTAAACTTTTATCACGACACTACTGTGAAATAGTGACAAAATTTAAAGTGGAATGTATCCAAGTTTTTGACAACAAATTAGTGATATCTCTCTCATCACTTTTAAGTATAAGAAAATGTTCTCACAAGAGATAGAAATGAGTAAAAGACTCCCTTTATATTTTAGCATAGGGAGCGTAAAGCCGTGAACTTCAACAAAACAAAAAATTTAGAGCTATATTTAAGAAAGTATTGTTATTTTGATTAGCTTTACAAAGTCATACAGGATTTCTAGGAAAGTATTTGATTACAACACATTTTACAATCCTATCAGCAAGAATTTTACATTAATAAAAATTATTAACCTCTAATTAAATTTCTTGCATTGCCTACACCAAAGCCCAAAAGCTAAGACATTATTGTAAAATTGCTTGTGAAATTGGAGGGTATTTTTTTTGTTTGTTTTTTTCACTTGCCTGCATGTAAAAATAATGCTTGTCCTTAGGTTATTGCAAGCATAATAACTTTATTAAATTGCTAATAAATAAATTAACCTTTTCTTTAAAACAAACTATCCTACAATTCTTCTGCATGCTTCCATGTGCCTTAAAATTTACTAGACCAGGAAAACATGTTAGAGATGTTGGCTTAGGAGTTTGGTATGCCCTGGAATTATCCTTTTCAACACTCCAAGATGTTTGTGAACTGTCTTGTGAATAAGCAATGAATTAATTTGGGCAATGCAGGAAACCACAGCAGGGTATACAGCTGTGGAAGTATGCAAACCAATAAAGAAGATAAAACTCGTTTCATGTAGATACTTACATCACAGCCTAGAAGTTCAGTCTGCGTGGATTTATCTACTCGTGAAGCAAAGGCCTTCTGTAAATGCTGTACCTTTTCCTGCAAAGGAAAAAAAATCACAATGATAGTGAGCTATGTGTTTCTATGCTAATAGTTTCAACTTACTAAAACTTAATTTCTAAATCACGAACTACTGTATAGGCATGTACACTCAACTATGGCAGGTTTTATTGTTGTTTTGGTTTATTTTTTGAATTAGTATAAGTATTTACACCTTAGTTTCCAAGTTACAAGTATTCCACTTTGCCATCTTTTCTAGTCTAAGAATGACTCTGGTATTTTTGAATGCGGAATACTCGACAGAGACTCAGACATTTGAACATAGTTGTCAAAATGTGTCTTGTAACTGGGCGAGATTGGCACATTTGTAGGTTAAGATGAAGATTCTACTGACATCTCAGCTACAAACAGAAAGATGTGTTATTTTGGAACCAACTTAGAATGGAAGTGAGTGTGACATGGAGATTTTCTTGGGCAGTAGCATTCATAAATAACTGAAGTCAGAGAGCTTACTACAATGATGGGCCTACATGGCTGCAAGTGTAAAATTGGTTAAGGAGAGTGAGGAATAAAAAAGCAGTAGAGAATGAAGCCAGTGGATGCCAGGCTAGTCCAGACGGTACAGACATGACAAAGGATGATACCAGAGGGACAAAGCCAGACCAGAAAGAACAGAACCCTGCATGATTCCAAAGTAGTATCATTCTCCAAATACTATTCTATGATTAAAGCCCAGAAACATTTTAAATAAATCCCAGCACACGAATTCAATTTGTCTGTGGCCTCATATTATGTATAAAAAGAATTCAGAGCAAAGTAAGAAAGAGAGGGGCATCTGAGGATAAGCAAATGCAAAATTCTCAGCCACCTGTGCTTTGTACTACCTTTCTAATCCCTCAGGGGAACCAAACACAATTTCTCTACCTCCTTTAGGGGATACAAGAAGCTTAATTGGATTCAATTTCTCACAGATAACTTTTACAAATAAATCTGTAAATATGATTATGTAATTGACTTTAGCTTTTCCTTTCCAAGCAGTAAAGAATTAAATATTTCTTAATTAAAATACATGGTTTAGATTTTTAATTTATTATTTAAAAAAATCATATGTGTGAATGAATTATAGAAACATGGTAGATTTTGTAGAGTGTAGTCAGAGTGAGGTGAAGAACATGCATCATGATTTACATTTACTGATGCTTCAGTTACTAAACGTATGCTGGTATTGGGTGCTGTGTGCTAATGCAACTTGGTATAAATTTGTTTGGTTGGTTTTGTTCATTTTGTTTTTCCCTATCGATATCTCTGAGTGATTAAGTTGCAAATTAGAGTTAACATGACAATGCTAATACAGTAACTTTCATCCTAATAAGCAAATGCATATAAGCCAAAGAAATACAGCTTTTGAACTTACAGAGAATTTTAGGCTACATTTACATTTTCTTTGCTACTGTAATCTTTACCACTGTAATTATCACTACTTCCTGCAGACACAAATTACTAAATATAGGCTAGATGTCAGGCACTGTAGCAAGTAACATGTCCAATCTATGTATGAAATGGTTATTTTAGAGATATTGTTGTCACTTTAGAACACGAAATAAACACTGAGTTAAAGATCACACTAGACAGTAAGTAGAACTGACAATTTAGATCTTCGTCTGTCTTCAACCTTGTTGTTCTTGTACATAAAGATATTCTAACTGTGAAAAACTATGAAGAATTTTTTATCTCTTTGTCATATATCGAAGAAACACAACAAATATATAATTTCTGTAGTCAATGTACAGCCAGTAATTGTAAGGTGGTACCAAACTATTCTTCAGGTCCACCTGTCTATATTCTTTTTCAAACTTTACTAAGTTATACTTTTCTGTGGAAGGAATGTAAGATCACCTCAGATTTGGCAATGTATTACCTGTAAAACTTATAATTCCACAGAATACCTATTACCACAAACACAATCAGTCATGAATTTTACAGTATGAGTCAGAAGTAAAGGATAAGGTTAAAGGTGACTTATCACACCATTTTTAGGGGAGAACAATGCAGCAAAGCGAACATGTAAAAGTCAAATTTAGAGAAAGTAAAAAATTCATTTAATGCCATGATAGCTAATCACAACAGAATATTCTAAAATACTGTATATATTATAAGAGTCATACTCTAGACCCAGACATATGTGTGTGTTTGTGTGTGTATATATATCGATCATTTTTACTCCCGTTTAATGAGTATGTATCAGTAGAATTAGAAGATTGAGAACAGTGGCCAAAGAAACAAACTTCTTCAAATGAAACTTGCTGAAAGATTATACAGCTTATATACTAGTTAGGTTGCTCACACATGTAATCAGGCTCTAAAGGAGAGAATCCAGTGTATACTAGGTTATACTAGAATCCAGTATATACCCAAGTCTGGCCCTCTCTATATTGTTAAATTCCTATACAGAATGCTGTGGTGTAACTTATGGAGTAAAGTAACCTAAACTCAGAAAGATAAACATAGTATGTACTCACTTATATTCACTGTAAAAAATAACCATGCTATAATCCACAAACCCAGAAAGGCTACATAACAAGGAGGGCTCAAGGAAGATGCATGGCTCTCCTTGGGAAAGAAAAATAAAAAAGATATCAAAACTGGATTGGGAGGGTTGGTTGGACTGAGAATAGGAACAAAAAAGATCATGTAGTCTGAGGATGGAGGGAGAGAGTACACGGAGAAATAACTGGAACTGTAAGCATCTCAAAGATGAGCCAGAAGTCTAGTGCAATGGAAACTCCCAGGAATCTATAGGGTGACACTAGCTAAGACTCCTAGCAACTGGGAATTACAGAGCCTGAACTGGTTATCTCCTGTAACTAGACAAGATTACCAGAGGAGGAATTGAGATGCCAATCCAGTCACACAACCTTTGACCTACAATTTGTCCTGCATACAAGATATGCCGGGGTAAAGGTGGCACAGAAACTGGGAGGGTGGCCAACACATATACTCAGGCTCTAAAGGTCCAGCTTGAGACCCATGAAGCAGAGAGAGCCCATGCCTGACACTGCCTGGAGGGTCAGAAGTCCTTGGCTATCTAGAATAGAACAAAACAGGACTGGCAAAGAAAAAGAAGAAAAGAAAAAAGAAATAGAAAATAAAAGAAAGAAAGAACAAAAGAAAGAAAGAAAGGAAGGAAGGAAGGAAGGAAGGAAGGAAGGAAGGAAGGAAGGAAGGAAGGAAGAAAAGATAAGAAAGAAAGGAGAAAATCACTGAAATGATTCTGCCTAGCTCAGTTGTAATCAGAGAGGCTTTACCTCGCAACTAATGAAAACAGATGCAGAGACCCACAGCCAAACATTAGGTTGAGCTTGTGGGATTCTACAGAAGAGAGGGTAGAAGAACTGCTGCAGTCAGGGGTTTCAAGAACACTACAAGAAATCCACAGAGTCAACTAACCTTGACTCACAGTCACTCACTGAGACTGAACCAAGAATCAGAGAGCACGCATGGGTCTAACCTAGGCTATGTGTATATATGTTGCAGTTATGTAGCTTGGTCTCCTTGTAGGACTCCTAACAGTAGGAGCCTGCTTTAGGGACCCTTTTCCTCCTACTGGGTTAACTGTAAAGGAAGTGCCTAATCTTACTGCAACTTGTTAGGCCATGCTTCGCTGATATCCATGGGAGGCTTACCTTTTTCTGAAGAGAAATGGAGAAGGAATGATGGTAGGGTATATAGACAGAGACGAGGAAGAAAGGAATGAAAACTAAAGTCAGATGTAATATATGAGAAAAGAGTAAAGAAAAGTTTATATAAAATTTAAAATCTGTAATTTGAACATGGGTTTTTAAATCATGAGAAAAGTGTAGTTGCCAAAATGGGATAGAGCACCACTGATTCATCAGTTTTTAAAAGGCATGGTTTATGACCCCAATAATTAGCATTTTGTTCTGTGAGCTCCCATGCATGATGGTGGGCTGGGATTCCTACCTTTTTGCAGCTGAGATGTTTCAGTTTATGCTTTGTTAACCAGAAAATCAGTGCAGAGATTTAACAGGTTCAATAAGAGGCAGGGATAGGAGTTGTGGTTTGTTTTATGTTTTAAGAAAGGGGTTAAAACTGTAAAGGCAGAGGAAGTGTCAGGTCAATAAACATCTGAAGAAATGTATTTTATTGGATCTCATGAAACCTTAATTAAGAAACTTCTGAGATTCCATAACAAGGAGACTGGTTTGTAGTTGACTTTTACCAGATGTACAGATAAACACATAACACAGTGCAATTGAAAGTTGTAAACAGATTGTCTATTTGAGATCACTCAAGTTGAAAACATACCTATCTTTTCACGTCCTTTAAACAGTAGCGTGATCTATAAATCAGGATTGAGTATGGTTAGAGATTGAAATTATTATGAATTCTTGTAGCCCAAATGGAATCAGATAGTGATCTAAATGAGAAAAAAAGCTTAGGATTTTGTTTTATAGGATGGTATTAATCAAAATTGTGCTCTCTCCTTATTTCTGACATCATTATTATTGTTAAGATGAAAAGTTGTCAAATCTGCCTCCACTCCTTTCACATTTGTTACACATCTGTTTCATTTGTATTTCTAATGTCCTTATCCACTCCCAAAATTTAAACCATGAGTGATACACAGAGAGATATTAGATGCGTTCCAAATACCACCTCTTAGTTCCATAGCCTCTGGCCTAGATTAAAAGGCATTTCCTCAAAATGTGTGTTAACCAGGAACCTCTGCATATGACCTTATTTGTCAGGAGAGTGTTGGGAGATACAACCATGTAAACTGAGACTGGTTTCATTAGGAAGTCATTAACCTAATGCGCTTTGGTATCCTTAAAGGAAGGAAGACATTGAGACAGTCTCAGAAAAGCTGGGTCAAAAAGGCCATATGAAGGCAGTAGTACTGATCACAATAATAAGCCCTCTATTAAAAAAATGCCTAGTTTCTCCCACCTATATTTACTTCCAGAACAAGTCAAAGAAGTTTTCAAACTGCCATGCTTAACAGCCAGGAAACTTCTGTT